GCCATGTTGTTTCCATCTATCCTGAAACCTTGTCTTCTATGGCCTGCTGAGGTTGGGTGAATTAGATTAGATTGATAGCAACTAGGTTATTGACCATCTAGAAAATAGTATTGTCCTCTATAACTTGATAGTAATGTTAGAGAAAGCTTGAAGTATAAATTACCAAAAGGTTTTCTGAAAATACATACAGTTATCTTACCAAATATTTTCTTCTAAGTGCTTTTTTTTTTTTCTCCCTGAAACAGTCTTGCTATGTAGTTAGTCCAAGCTGGCCTTAAACATGAGATCCTAATGCCTCAGCCACCCAAGTACTGAGATTACAGGCATGAACTACTGTAAATAACAGGAGCCTGTAGTTGCTCTAACTTAATGCTTGGAGAAAATTTTCTGATGTGTCATAGATGAAGAGAGCCTAGCTGTAGTATACTGGGCTCTTACCTGGAGAAGATAGAGTTACATATCAAGAGAAATTGAAGGATGTCAGCAAACCAGTTAGGCCAGTTTGCCTTCTCCCACACCCTTGGGTTTTGCCATAACCCAAGCCAGCCCTCTTATAAGCCACCACTTAGGGGAGAGCCTTGGGCCCTGTCATGTCTCAGGCTAACTCTACCTTTCTGAGACTACCACCCAGGAGAGGGTATGACCTGTTTCAAACAAATCAATCATAAACTCAGGTCAGTCTGCCATCCTGTGGCCACTGCCCTGGATAAGGTCTGGGCTGATTCAAACATACTGATCATAATCTGACAGACTGTCTAAAGGGAAGAGAGAAAGGTGGTGCAGGAGAGGGTCAACATAAAGCAACAGCCCAAGACCATGCAGTGGGACAACCAGTTTCTGAGTTCCTCTGAGCATAATTCTGAGTGGCCTTTATATTCTTTTTATTTTTTATTGTGAAAATACTGTACAGAGGGGTTACAATTACATGGGCAAAATAATGAGTACATTTCTTATCAAGCATTGTTGCTTCCTCCTTTGTTTCCCCTTACCATCCCTACTTATCTACACCCTCCCCTCCCCCGCCTTCCCCTCCCCTGCCAAAGTTGTAAAGTTCATTTTTTCGACATAAAATCTTGTATATCTCATTGTTGCAATGGTTCCATCTGTATCCCTATTTAACAATTTCTTTTTTCCCTTCCCCTCCACAAATTATACCAACATCAAATACAGTGAAAACAGGGGTTATACCATGAGAAAGGGATATACAAAGCAACAAAGAAATCATCTTATAAATATGTTAGAAACAATAGCAAGAAAGGAAAACCATTTGAGTCCTTATCTTAGTCCTCGCCTAATATCAATCTGACTGTTTCTGCTTGTCTCAGACATATACTAGTTATTGCAAATAAGGGAAACCATGGGACCTATGTTTCTTTGGGCCTGGCTTACTTCACTTAATATAATTTTTTCCAAGACTCTCCATTTCCTAACAAATGGGGCAATGTCATTCTTTCTGATGGAGGCATAAGGGAACCCTACTGCATTGTTGGTAGGAGTGTAAACTTGTTCAACCACTTTGGAAAGTAGTATAGAGGTTCCTCAAAAGACTCCAAATAGAGCTCCTCTATGACCCAGCAATCCCACTTTGGGGCATTTACCCAAACTAAAGCTACCAGCACAACTATGTTTATTGCAGCATTATTTACCATAGCTAATATATGGAACCAACCCAGATGCCCCTCAGTAGATGGATGGATCAAGAAAATGTGGTATACATATTTTTTTTTTATTAAGTAAATTCTTTAAAACTGTGATAATCATTCCTGGTTTTATTTCAACACTACCAAAGAACAGGAACACACTAAGCTGTTTGTTCAGCATACAGAAGATCATAATCTTCTAGCTTTAGGAACTTGCTTCCAGATAGTGATGAGTGTTCCAAGCACAGGATCTGGGGCTTATATGTTGTCTTCACTTCCACAGGGTGATGAATTGATCTAGAATCTAGATCTATAGTCAAGGTGATCAGTTCCATTATTTTTCCACCACTAGCATAGATAGTAGTGCTCTGCTTGTTCTTCCTAGTATCAAGAGCTCTTTAAGGACTGAGCATGTGCTGCTACAAGATGAACAAATCAGGGGCTGTGAAGCAAGTGGGAATTCATCTGACCCATAGACTAAGAAGTTCTCTCTCAGGCAATGGCTTTCAGTACACAAAGAAAGGAAGGTTCTGGAAGTAGCACAGAAGAACACAACTGAACTCTCAATAGTTCTGCTCTCAATATCAAAAACTCTAGCTCTATCTCTTCTCTCGGATAAGGTCTAGTGCCCTGAGACATTGTGGGAAGAGTTTAGCTTATAAGCTATCCACCAGTACATGGGTGAGAATCTACATGGCAACTTTCCCACTACTCAGAACAACTAGAACATTTCACCAACAAGATTACAAGTGGTTAATGCTTGCAACTAACAATTTGGCCTCAGGTGCATAAATCTCAATGGAGAAATATAGGAAATATGAAAATAAAATATGAAATAAAATAAAATATAAAATAAAAATTTCAGTTCATATAAATGAAAACATTTTAATTCTTATATGAAAAATATTTCTTGTTTTGATTTTTCATATATTTTTATAAAAATATTTCATATATGTAATAAATGAAAAATCAAAACATTACATCATCTCCAAAGGTCAGCAACACCATAGTAACAGATACTTAGGATAGAGAAGAGGAAGAAAGACCAAAGAACTCAAAAGTATGTCTACAAGGACATAATCAACAAAATGAAAGAGAGTAGGTATGAAAGGATGCCTAAATTTAAACATGGTCTATATAAATAACTGAAGGAACTTAAAGAAAATACAAATAAATTGCTGATTAAACTTAGGGAAACAATGCTAATTAAGAAAGAGAAAAAAAATTCAACTGGAAAAGCTCAATCAATGGAAAAGCTCAGGAACTCAAATTAAAAATTCAGTGGTCGCTCCAGTCAAGTGAGCCAAATTTGGAAGAAAAAAAAAAACTCGAGCTTGTAGGCAAGGTAAGTATAATACAGCAATCAGATGAAGAAACAGAAAAAAAAGTTGAAAAGTATGAATGTAACATGCAACTGCTGATATGTTATTAAAAGACAAAGCCCATGTGTCATGGGCATAGAAGAAGGAAAAGAGGTGAAAGTCAAAAGAGAAACATTACCAAATTTGAGAGACAGCCATTTAGATAGAGGAGGCACTTAGAACACTCAACAAACGAGATGAAAAAGATCTACCTCAAAATATAGTAAAGCTAAAACATTGAATGTATAGAACAGAAAGATAAAACTACAATAGAGAAGTGATAAGTTAAATATTATGGCAAGCCACAGAATGACATCAAATTTCTCAACAGAACCTCAAAAGCTAGTCAGACAAGAACGTATTTTAAGTCTTAAAACTTCCAATCTAGATTACAGTAATCAGCAAAGCTATCAGAAATAAAAACATCCACAGTAAATAAAAACTAAAGCAATTTACAATTACTGAGCCAGCACTACAGAAGATACTTAGAAGAATCCTAATATAACTCTTTAATATAACTTTTAAATATAATTTTAAGTGTTAATAGTTTCAATTCTCCAACTAAAAGAGATAGCTAAGAAGGTCAGATTGTAGACCATGATCCAATCATTTGTTGTCTCATTGATGAGGACAAAAATAGCTTGCAGTGAAAGAACAGAAAATATTTTCCAAGCATGGAAACAAGAGAAGTAGGCATACTAGTAAGTATGTGATAAAACAAACTTTTAAACAAAATTAGTCAGAAGGGACACAGAAGATCACATCATAATAATAAAGGGAATAATCCATCAAGAGGAGATATCAATTGTAAATGTTTATACACAGAATGTTGGCAACAGTATCAGGACAAAAAAGCACAAGTATTATTTGGTGACTTCATTGTGCACTCATACATATAGCCTTCATCTAGAAAATATTAATGGGAAAATGTTATAACTAAATGGCAATCCAGAGAGAGTGTAGTTAACAGTTATCCACAAAATAGTCCACCAGCAGCAGCAGCAGAATACATATTTTTTATCAGAAACCATGGAATTTTCTCCCCAATGGGTTATATTTGAAGATATAAAGTATGTCTCTCAACTACAATAACATAGAAATTACCACCTGTGTTTTATCAATGGAATAAAACTTGAAATCAACAGAAAAAAGAAAGTCACAGAAAAATTCAAATACATGGAAACTCAAGAATACACTGCTGAATGATGAGTGGATCATTAAAGAAATAAGTGGGGGAAGAATTTAAAAAATCCTAGAATAAAATGAAAATGAAAAAGACGCAGCAGAACCTTTGGGACCTACAATGTCAGTGCTAAAAGGAAAGCTTATTTGCTATATAAACCCTACATTATTAAGTCAGAGATATCTCAAGTAAATTATCAGTTATGTACCTTAAGCTCTTAGACACGCAAGAACAAGCCAAATACCTTCGTACTAGGTAGAAATAAATATTTATGATCAGGAGAACTAAATAACAAAAAAAGAAAATTATAGGACAATCTCCTGGATAAAGATGGATAAAATATTTCTCAATAAAATATTTTCAGAAACAATTCAAAAGCACATTGAGCACATAGCACATAGTCTAGTTGATTTTTTTTCCCCAGAAATGCAAGGATGACTCAGCATATATAAATCAATAAATGTGATACAGTGTAAACTCTGAAAAAATTAAAACGAGAATACCTCAACACAATAACTTCTTAGTACTACACTCTGATGCTTCCTAGACCTTTTGATAGGAGATTTCTTCTAATTATAAAGTGTTCATGCTGGTGAAAGAGGAAAGGTGTATTTTTCAATCACTAGCTTCTAATTTTGTTCACCATATTCCTGAACATGTTTACACTTTAAAAATTATTTATTTCCTTGCAGAGTATCAGTGGCTCATGCCTATAATCCTAGCTACTCAAGAGGCTGAGCCCTGAGGATCACTGTTCACAGACAGCCAGGGTAGGAAAGTCTATGAAACACTTATATCTAATAAACTATTAAAAAAATCAGAAGTGGAACTTTGGCTCTAGTGGTAAGTGCTAACTTTGAGCTCTGAATTTAAGCTCCAGCATTAGAATCCCTCAAAACATTTTATTTCCATATCAGGTATTATTGTGAACGTCTGAATTTGTTATTAAACAATCAGCAAATATAACTTTATTTAAATTACTTAGACATTTTAACTGAATTTCTATAACTTATTATAATGCTATAAGATTTAGTACACATGGACATAATCTATAGAGAGGCAAACCATCATTCTAGCAAGAAGTGGTCAGATTATCACTCTGTTTTGCAATTCTGCATCATGTGAGGCTCTTTTTTCTTTTTTCTTTATTTTTGGTGGTACTAGGATCTCATACATCCTAGGCAGGCACTAACATGAGCTCTCATCTCGACCAAAGCATTGCCATTGAACTAGATCACAGTCTAGTTAGTTCACAGGTTCTCTCTTAGCACGGATCAACCCAAATAGTCTGATGGGATCATCATGAATATTTTCTTCTATTGGCTGGCTTTCTGGTGAGAAAGTATCTACCAAGTCGGTTCTCAAAACACTGGCATCCCTCCCAGGTAATTGCTCATCTGTATCCGTGTCTGTTAAGTTCTGTTTCCTGGGCTTCCTACGTTTCCCCCTGTAGCTGTGATTAAGTGAGGCGTAGCACATCTGTGATTCAGCAGCTACCTAAAAAAGAAAGATATGTTAATTTTTCATTGTTAGCCTGTAAGGTTTTATGGTTTCTGGAAAATTCCATGGTCTGTGAAAAACAAGTGGCTTATTTTTCATTTGTCAAAATGACAGAATGAAATTCAACAGTGAATTCTAGAATTTTGAGTTGAAAAAATGTTTAAATGTTTAAGGGAAACTTTGATTGTTATTTCCTTCCCCCTTACCCCCTCCGCTAGTCCTGGGGCTTAAACTTAGAGAACTAAAGACTTGGGTGCTGTCCCTGAGCTTTTTTTCCCCTCAAGGCTAGAACTCTACCACTTGAGTGACAGTTCTATTTTTGACTTTTTGGTGGTTAACTTGGAAATAAGAGTCTCATAGACTTTCCTGCCCAGGCTGACTTCAAACCATCATCCTCAGATCTCAGCCTACTGAGTAGCTTGGATTAAAGGTGTGAACCATCAGTGCCCAGCTTTTCATTGCCTTTTTGTATTCAATATATACATAATCATTTTTTATTTGGTACTGTATTTTTATCTCAGGTACTTCTTACTGTATACTCTTACCAGTGACTGGAATAAAAAAAAAAATCTAAGGACAACAAACATAAATAAAAGGAAGTTACAAATCACAGGTTCTACTGCCTAATAGTTGGTCATTTTAGTGGTACTCATAAATGGCTCCATTGTCCCCTACATTTTTAAGCTTTAGAAGTATAATGATAACACTCTCCACCTACCTGACTGCCATTTAAGACCTCCATCATCATTACTACTATTCCTCCACATACAAACATGGTCCTGAAAGCTGGGTAATTCACTGTTCACTGTTCACATTTTGTGCTTTCATCAGCTATGGTTTAGCCAAAACAGATAGGAAAGATGCCAGTGAAATTTGAAAAGCACTCATACCACAAACAAGTGGATGCCTTTTGTCTGTCTAGTCTCTTGTTCTATAGTTCTTCTTTTGATCACCTTCCATTCTTTCTTTAGTAAAGTTTTCCATAACTGATTCTGGAGAGAGTGTCAATTACCAGGCTGTACCACAGGGGAAGCAATACTAAGCAGGAGATCTATACTAGACCAAAGTGTCGGTTTCATCACCGTTACCCTGGTAACAAGAGTGGCTTGGGAAAGGGGATGTAATTTCACCAGAGACAATTAGATGACATTTACAATTGATTCATGCACTTAAAAAATATGCTCCCCTTTAGGTTGAGTTTTACTGAAATGATCTGTTGGTAATAGAGGAGAAGGGACTCAGTAAACCTGGTAAGGAGAAAAAAAGAGCCCATCCATATTCAATCATCTCAAAACCCAAATATATATTCACATCTCTACATCACAGCAGGCAGTAATTTCCCTTTTTTGCCAAAGAAAGCATTCTTAATAATACATGGTTGGTCAACTTTATCAAATGCTGCAAAGTCCTGAGGAACATAAGTCCTGAGAAAGACTGTTAAGTATACATTTAAGAGTCACTTAGACTTCCTTAGAGCTGTGGTTGTTGAGGTATGATGGAAGGCATAAAGCTAGGGGTAAAGGAATAAATATCTATGGAAAGAAAAGGAAAAAAAAAGAGGATAGTAAGAGCTAGAAATTTAGAAATAAGAGAGAAAAACTTGGGTTCAAATTAGGTTTTTGTTGTTCTGTTTGTTTTGTAGTTGTTTTAAATATTGAGGACATTTGCACATATCATTAGCCAAATAGTGATAATTCACTAAAGGAAAAATGAAAATTAGAGGAAAAATACTATTTGCTTTTTACTATTTTTAAGTAGTTGTACAAAAGGATTTCAATTCAACATGTCAGTTTATGAGTACATGCATTTTGAATGGAAAATTAAATAATTGATGCTGTAAGATACTGAGAGATGGGAAGATCCTAAGTAAAAGTACTGGTTTAAAAAGAAGAGAGGATGCTTCTGATATAGGAATGAAGAGACTGACCAGAGATTTGGAAATAAAAATAAAATAAATTAACTCACACTTGTTACCTTCAAATCTTATAGGTTATGGTAATTCTTGTGGACTGATTTTAGTACTAGTTTTTCTTATTAACTCAGTGATTTACTGAGTTGATTGTAAATAGTAACTGACAAAATGAAATTAGGGTTTTTAAACTACACTCATCATTTTGAATTGATTTTGTTTTGCTAATACCAAATGTTTTGTTAACTCTTTATGTTAATAATCTCTTATGCTTTTTGTGATTGACCGGTGCAGCAAAGCATTATAGTAGCAAACTGTGTAGACCATGATTATTCTAATAAAATGAAATTGAGGGCTGGGAAGGTGGCAGAGTGGTAGAGCACTTGCCTTGCATGCTCGAGGTCCTGGGTTCGATTCCTCAGCACCACATAAGCAAAAAGAAAAAAGCCGGAAGTGGCGCTGTGGCTCAAGTGGTAGAGCACTAGCCTTGAGCTGAAGAGCTGAGGGATAGCACCCAGGCCCAGAGTTCAGGCCCCACGACCGGACCCAAAAAAAAAAAAATGAAATTGAACAAATATAAAGATATTACTTCTAATGTGCAAAACTAAATTCATAAGGAGAATGTAGTAGAATAAAGACTAATTTTTCTGGATATTGGCTTTGAATATATCACTTATAAAACAGAAGACTTAAGAGCATTATATAGATTTGCATAATTTCCACTTGAGTAAAAACCAGATGCACTTCAAACAATGCTGTCATATATAATTCTGTATATTGAGTCATAATTTATACTCAGAATTCTTATGACTTCTATAGCTACGTAACTGGTATAAATCTGCATGTCATTCAGTGTGATTACATATCGACCATTTTTTCAGAAATTTTCTTTTATTACCATGGATTTAGCAGCTTCTATTATATCATGCCAGTTTTCATACTTTTAATCAAAAGCATATTTTACAATGAACCAAATATCAAAGACAGCTTTGGAGTCTTCATATTTTGCTCAGATCTCTCCATGTCTTGCTATCTTAATAAAAAAATTTCAAGAAGTCCAATTTCTTATGGGATTCATATAAAGAAAAGGGGAGAAGTTCCACTCTAAGAACAATTTCATGATGGGAGCCACTGTAGGAGAGGGCATGCTCTCTATAAGACATGACTAAGTTGGGATTCTGACGCCTTACTTTGTACCTGATTGCTCAAAGTGACAATTTTACAAAAATAAAAACATTACAAACTTTTGTGAAACAGGAAGAATAATGTTGCCTCCCTGATAGGAATCTTAGAAGATCATATAAGTAAATGAACCATATAAGATCTGAAAGGCAACAATTGCTTAGGAGATGATATCTTTGTTACTTTGTCATTCATTAGAAGATACAAGAACAGACAAGATTTGGAAAGAATAGAATGACTTTTAAAATGTACAATTCTTTAGGAATTGTAAACTAAAGTGTGTGTGTGTGTGTGTGTGTGTGTGTGTGTGTGTGTGTTTGTGTGTGAGAGAGAGAGACAGAGACAGAGACAGAGACAGAAACTTGGTTCTCACGATGAGAGAGTTTTGCTATGTAGCTTATGCTGTCCTTGAATTCCTAATCCTGCTGGTTTACAATCCCAAGTGCTGGGATTTCAGGCATGTGCCATCATACCAGACTAGGCTAAGAACTATGAATGGTCTTTAATAAGATTATTGTTATAGCTAATGTAGTTGAAATGATTGTGATAGTAATGGAGAAATTAAATTACCCATTCTTGAGATTTTTACACTTCTGGTTAATCTTTTATACTGTCTATCCTTATACAAGCTGTGTATATATTCTACAATTTCATACTATAATAAGACTTGTATTAAAATTTGTACTCATTTGCCTTTTAAAATAGAGGTATGATGTTGTAAATACACCTATGTTATCTTCAGTTAAAACTCTCTTCCCTCCCCCTTTTTCTCTCTCCTTCCTTTCCTTTCTATCATTCACAATGTGAATATGAGCATTATACAAGTGTCAGCATAATTTTTTCTTTCTTTCTTCCTTCCTTCCTTCCTTCCTTTCTTCCTTTCTTTTTCTTCCTTCCTTTTTCTTTCTTTCTTTCTTTTCTTTGTTTCACACACAAAAGTATTGATCTGAAAGAAAAAAAGCTTAATGATGTAGGAATAATTCAACTCTCCCTTCAAATTTATTGTTTTTCTAACCATACCTAACTTTGACTGAGTGTGGATTGAGTATGTTTTACATGTCTCTGAGTTACCCCATACTTCAGTTCCAGAACTTGACATTTCATTCAGGCTATAAATTTCTCATGCTCATGTACTTTGCCATAGGCCAAGCTTCAGTTTTGATACAGAAAAATGCACTCACCTGTGCAGGTGGGGTGGCTTCTTTCATGTCATTTACAGATCTTTGTGGTCGGGCTTTCATTTGTTCATAACAATTTTCATCCATTGGTTCTTGGAAGTTGGAAAAGTTGGTTATTTACAAAGGAAAAGTGAAAGAGGCTGGCATGAATAAAAAGACATGATCCAAACAACACTTAGCTGTAAATATGAAGCCCTCAAGAACTTAACCTGTGATTGGTGGAGATGCATGGACGTTCAAGAAGTACAAAGTGTTACCTGCAGATCAGTGAAAATTTTGCTATATAGTTTTAATGATATGACAAAAAGAAATTCTTAGGGTAAAGTTAATTATGATAATTTTATAGAGTTATAGAATAGTTTCAGCTCTTTTTTTTGGAATTTAAAATTTACAAAAGTTTATTTTGAGGATATAGACAACTTTTAACACATAACTAGAAAAAAATACCAAGATAAATCCCATTAAAAGATTAGTAGGCACCAGGTGCCCGTGGCTCACACCTGTAATCCTAGCTACTGGGGGTGGGGGGGGGGCTGAAATCTGAGGATCACAGTTCTAAGCCAGCCCAGACAGGAAAGTCCATGAGGGATGGTGCCCAAGCCCAGAGTTCAAGCCCCACGACTGACCCCCCCCCCCAAAATAGTAGGCAATCTTTTAAGTAATCAGACAGTCTCATGTTACACTACTACTTAGAGTTTAAAGAAGGCCTATAAGTTAAGGAATTGCAGAATATGCATGGCATCAATTTGACGGAAAAGATATTTTCACCATAACAAAAGTACCTAATAATATTTCAACCCTTTCTGAAAAAGCAACACTGAGAAATGGTCCATAGAGTGATATTATTCAAATCATGGTCCTGGAAAATCCACATTAGAAACACCTGTTAGTCAAGTAGCTAAATAAGAATCTAGAAAGTGACACCTGGTTTATTTATGTGGGAAAAACACACATATGGTAGACTTTCAGCCACCAGAATACTTAAGAATTAAGTATTCACAAATATTGTAGGTGGCCACCACAATTCTACAAAGGAAAAAGGAAAATGATTTTAATAGTATATTCCTGATAAAAGTTTCTGACATTACACTACAGATAGAAGAAGATACTTTGCGATGGAAGGAAAGACAAAATGAAATAAAACTTGGAGTCCGAGAAAATTCCCAAATTTCTAAGTTTAGAAGGAGTCTATTCTGTCCTGAAAGGCAGTCAGATATACTTAGCACAGTCCAGAAAGCCTCTATGTTTGAGATGCAGAGATCAACAGGGACCCCACAGTGCCTGTCACGAGTGGAGAGAAGACTTTCAGTGAAAAGGTGACCACTTCTCTCATTGGATAAGATTAAGGTTGTTTCATTGGAGGAATTTGGAGTGTTTTGTTTTTAGGTTGAAAAGGTTCAAGGTATAAGGGATGTTGGAAATTGAAGAGCACTTGTTATATAAGGACGACAAAATAATTTTAAAACATGCAATGATAATTTTGTTTACTCCTCAGCTGCCATTAGTCTAGTCCCAGCTTCTCTACTTAAAGAAAATGATTTAAAACATAGAAAATTAAAGTGTATTGTTAAACTATTCGCTATAGATTTGCTTTTGTATACAGAGCACAAAGCAATGTTGTTGTGGGTCATTTTCTGTTCTAGAATAGCTTTATTTTGTAGAATTCTCTGTGTTACAATTCATGGTGATAGAATCTTCCTGCATTCCTAATGTAATTAAATTGAAATAAAATGAATATGAAAAGACACGAGGTTGATTTACACAATATCACAATGCAATTTACCATGCATGCCTTTAGAAACATATTCTATCTACTATATTGAACACATTTGAATTTATTATTTCCATTGTGAGTTTTAAATATGATTATGTTAAAAAAGTCACCTCAAATTCTTTGTGTAATAAAGTGGGATTTACTTAATTTATTATCTATTCATTTAACATTTAGAAAAATAAACTTACCTGCAACGATACTATCCAAGTTACCATAAATTGGAGTGTCTTCGATCTCATATTCATCACTCCTATAACAAAGAGAAATAATTTTCTTTATTAGAGTTTATACATAATAAAGTTTCTTACTAATCACTGTTAGTCAACTAGTAAGTAGAAATTAAAGATTAGTTTCCCAGTTGAACTGAGTATTGAGTGAACTATTGATTATACTTATTTAGCCAAGTTAGGGTTAATTCATGCATTTGCTCATGTGTATGTGTGTGTGTGTTTACCTGTGTTTGTGTGTGTGTGTGTGTGTGTGTGTGAACTGAAAAAATTGGAACATTCATTTTAAGGAATAATGATATTAAATCATTATTCAACATCATCATGTCAGGTTCTATTGAAGTGCATTTCATATATTTGTTCATTTAGGCAGGCACGCCATCATTCCTGATTTACAGACAATTAATATGAGGCATATAGAGCTCATATTAACTTGCTCAGGGCCACAAGATTACTAATAGGTAATTAGGATTTTAATCCATGTTGTCTATACTCTTACCCACGTATTTGTACTGACTCTTATACTGATGCCTAATATCACTTTAAATGACTTGTAAAACTGTTTTTCTCTAAGTAAGTTTCTATAAGTATCACACTTTTCTACTCTTTCACATTCAGTGATAAGGAGGAAGCACAAGAGATTTTTCAGTAGAATAGAATTTTTATTTTGTAAACTCTAAAGTATTAAACTTGCTAAATAGTAAAATAAATGCAATATCTTTTATTTGAATTGTATATATGAGTTGTGTTTTAACAAATGATTTATTTCATTGTGTTAAAGACATTTTCACCAAATAATGTCAATTGATTTCTTCAGTATTACAGCTAATATAGTCCAAGGGACATTTCCCCCATATGCTTGTTTTATCTTATTGTGTGAAGTTTGCATGTTGGTGATCTGTAAAGCTGCTGGTGAAATGGTCATGAGTGCATTTGCTTTCTGTGGCAATAAAGATTTCTGTGCCTCAAAAACAACAATAACAATAACAACAACAACTCCGTCAGTGTTTCCTATGGAGACCCAGGCTGGGAGATGCAGTACTATGATTGCTTATTGCATCAGATTCTGAATTAGTGTTTTACATACCTAATATGGAAAGTTCATGGAAATTCTGGAAAAATGGTGCTATTACTCTCCACTTAATGGAGGGGAAGACTGGTATTCAAATAAATTGTTTGTTTCTTAGTTGCATGTGTAATATGAACACTAATTATATGTGAAAACTTTCTTCATACCAGGGCTCATACACCTCTCAGGATGATCTTATGATGTGCGCATGGTTACTCCTACAGTACTTATACAGAATTTACAAACTCAGATGTTAAATTGTCCAAAGACAACCAAGTGCTGGGATTGAGATGCAAATTTGGTCTTACGGTTCTGTTTGTCCATATCATGAGAAAGTAACGAACAGGTAATATAATTCAAAGGCTGGAGGGAAACAGCTTAGAATGTTATGGTAGGACCATAGCTTTGTGTAGCTGTAGTCAAGAGAACTGGCAAAGAATACATAGCTATTTGTTCCTGCTAATTTTATTGGATTTCCTTCCAGCTTTATATGTATAATGTTACTATTACAATAGGCACCCCTCCATTGTCACTAAACTGTCATCCTATCAGGCTTGGAACAGAAAAAGTAGTAAGTAGTAAGAATGCATTTTATAACGTAGTATTGGCTGCTTTGACTTGGAGATTATATGTCACTGAGAGCTGGAAGGAACTGCATCAAAAGAAAAAGAAACTCATGGCACAACACCTACATCACTCCTGCTGCTTCTTAAAGAAAATAGAATCCACATAGTAAGTAGTATCCTTAAAAAATAACAGTTCAAATGCCACCTCCATGACATGGTTTGAAAGTCCAGATACTGGCTCATACGTCTTTCCATCCAGTGAGTCAGTATAGCTCAGTATTGGGATATGGTACCATCCCAGCTCACGATTCTCTCCCTCCCCCTCCCCCTCCCCCCCCCCCCCCCCCCGCCCCAATAGGCACAGAATACGCTAGCAAAAGGTGAAGACTTTTTAATAATACAGCCCATCCATTTTCCAAGCCCACATAGATAGCAGACACAACCTACAAATGATAAATCATGTCTAAAAAATGAATATTGTTTCATTCGCTATGAATGAAAATAAGATGTGATTTATAATGCAGTGCCCTGTGTCTACAGGCAAGTCTCAAATGATTAATCATCCCAAATAAACTGTGATTCAGGAGCAGTTGCCTAACCAAAAAAAAATTCAATGTATTTTTACTTAGCAATGCCAAATAGCTTCAGCTTATTTCAGATTTGTAATAAACTGCAACCGCAAATGTTTGACAGTGTTTTACCTGGAAGAGGACAGTAGTTATTCTTTAAAATAACTTAATTACCTGAAAGCTAGAGGCTAGTGTTCCTCTGAATTTTGAGACCATATCAGAATTTCATTCTCTAAGTAGGTTGGAAGTGGTCCTTGAACTAATAATTATTGATACTCCAACATTTAAAAGTACATTAATATTTCTTAGTATTATCCAAATTCTTTGTGCTTTCATTGAGATTTTTATCTAGCTCCAATTTAAAATTTTTTTTGAGGGGGGTCTGGTCATGGGGCCTGAACTCTGGGCCTCAGCGCTGTCCCTCGGCTCTTCAGCTCAAGGCTAGCACTCTACCTCTTGAGCCACAGCATCACTTCTGGCTTTTTTCTTTTTGCTTATGTGGTGCTGAGGAATTGAACCCAGGGCCTCAGGCATGCAAGGCAAGCGCTCTACCACTGAGCCACCTTCCCAGCCCCGATTTAATTTTTTTTCTAACTTCCTTTTTATTGTTGTGAAATACTTTTTAGTTACTTAGCTTCTGTGCAAGTGGGACATAAGCAGGTGAGCCTTGATGAATCCTTGCATACGGCATTTGAGGATTTTGTGTAAGTGACAGACTCACTCCATGCAGCTCATTTTATGTCTTCCTCTTCTGTTTCAGTAGGCTCAGGCAAGTTTTAAATGTGCAGCCCAAGATACAGCAGCATAAGGGTTCAAACTTCTATTTCTAGTCATTAATATAGTGATGATCTTTGCTAGGTTCCATGGAGAGGCAGTTTGCCCTTTGTTAACTAGTGAACTTGTTACACAATGGTCTTGAAAAATACCACTTTGGTACTTGTTATATTTCTACTATTAAAAGTATTAATTCATTTTAATTAATCAATTAATGGTTATTTATTGTTATTTAGCTATTAGTTTTCACTAATTTCTAGTAGTAAAAGTATTAATATTTTTTAGCAAATTTTTAGAACTTTTAGTATTTTATTACTGTGAGTGATTTGTTGTTGACTAAATGTTACATAAGAAGCCAGGCTCTTTTCTACATTTGGCATGCAGTTAGGGGTCTCTTTGCATTGAAATGAGAATTTGGCCAATGTTCTTGTTCAAAATCTTTCATCCTAATACCCAAATCATCAACCAGATATTTACTAAATGATGAAATTATAAGACTTCTATTATATTTCTTTTTTTCTTTTTCTTTTTTCAGAAAGGTTCTCACTCGGGGCTGGGAAGGTGGCTCAGTGGTAGAGCATTTGCCTTGCATGCTTGAGGCCCTGGGTTCGATTCCTCAGCACCACATAAGCAAAAAGCTGGAAGTGGAGCTGTGGCTCAAGTGGTAGAGCGCTAGCCTTGAGCTGAAGAGCTGAGGGACAACACCCAGGCCCAGAGTTCAGGCCCCACGATCGGACCCAAAAAGTAAAAAATAAAAAATAAAAAATAAAAAAAATTAAAAAAGAGAAAGGTTCTCACTCTCTCGGGCTAGCCTTGACCTTATGGTCTTCCTGCTTCAGCCTTCTGGGTGTTGCTATTACAGGTGTATGCCACCATACAGAGGGTGATTTACATCTTAATTGCCCTTCAAATGACAAGTATCAAATCAATCATTGAATATATTACCTTCTGTTGTGTAGCTATATAGGTTTTTCTTTGTCCTATTTCTTGGAACAAACAAGAGATTATAATATGAACAAGTATTAGTTCATGTCAAAAAGGATATGTCAGGCTAAAGAATTTAAGTGATTTGAATTGTAACAAGCTAATGAGTTCAAAGTTAAGTTAACAATAATCTTGTGTGTGAAGGCATCTATCTGCATCCTACATCCTGAGTCTGCTAGAGGTTCTGTAATATAGAAGCCTTTTTTGTGTATGCCAGTCCTGGAGCTTGAACTCAAGGCATGGATACCGTCTCTGAGCTTTTTTGCTCAAAGCTAGCTCTCAGCCACTTGAGCCATAGCTCCACTTCAAGGTTTTGATGCTTAATCAATACCAGCTCCTGTTGGTATTGAACCTCAGTCCTCAGTTCTCAGCCTCCTGAGTATCTAGGATTATAGCTATGAGCCACCAGCACCTGGCATAGAAAATAGTTTTTAAAAGATCATTTACAGGCAAGATAGGCTTACCTTATCCAATTAGAAACGACCTTTGCTTTGCAAAGATCTTTCAGCCTTACCATCCTGAAGAAGTCTCTAGGAAATTCCTTTTATTTTGATTTTTTTTATTTCTAAAATAGAATCCCCAGTAGAATGTACACATCTGGGTCAGAACATACCATCCCAAACTAACACTACTTTCCTATGATGCATGACAAAAAACACCCAAAAATTATTTTAAACTTCTCGTAGTAAAATATCATAAGGCTAAACTCCTCTGTACAGTATGTTCACAAATAAAATTAAATTAAAATAAAAAAATTACAAAGAAAAAAAAATGTAAAGAACAAATAACTGACATATCCTATAAATATAACAAATGTTAGCTATTATACTTGTTAAAAAAAAAAAAAAAAAAAAAAAGATTAGTTCAGTGGCAAAGCACTTGACTAGTATGTTTGAGACCCTGGGTTAAATCTCTAGCACCACAAAAATAGAAAAGAACAAAGGAATCAAAGTATCATGTAGATTGATTGTATTAAAGAGAATCTATAACTAAAATGTTATTTTAGATTATTGATTCATCACATTTCCCTATTGAATGGCAATCACAAAAATTGTGTGTGTGTATATACACAATGTGTACAATGTTTTCTGAGTCAGTTTCCCTATGTAGCCAAAGCTGGACTCATTATGGAACCCAATCTGGTCTTTAATTTGTGATATGCATGGCTCATTCTGCCCAGATTACAGATATTTACCACTACACATGACAGTGTATCTCAAATTTTGTGAGGTTCTAGTAGATTTTATTTTCTCCTGTAGATTCTGATGTACAGTCCAATTTTATATAAAAATAGATTTTTTTTGTAGGTCATGAACTCTGGGCTTGAATGCTGTCCCTCAGCTCTTCAGCTCAAGGCTAGCGCTCTACCACTTGAGCCACTGTACCACTTCTGGTTTTCTGAGTGGTTTATTGGAGATAAGAGTCTCACAGACTTTCTTGCCCCAGCTGGCTTAGAACCAGGATCCTCAGATCTCAGCCTCCTAAGTAGCTAGGTGTGAGCCATTGGCGTCCGGCTTTAGATTTCATTTTTAAACTTCCAACCTGAACCACAATCTTGGATACCTACTTCTGAAATGAGAATTCTACATTAATTCTACATGCCTGGTTAGTATCTCATTTTATCTTCACCTAATCCTTTCTTTGACTTGGGATATATTAATAAGAAAGGTGAATAATAATATTATAGTTTTTTTTCAGATGAGAGTAAAAGTTTATTTGATTTGAACAAAAATGCAACATCCCTGAGCCAATGCTATAAGCAATATAGCATTTGTTCTCCATTATTTGTTGGATTTTCTAAGATCTGATTTGATTTTAACATACCTTGGAATGAAGTCATCAGAGTAGCCATAATTTTTATCTGAAAGATATATAAACATACAAATTAAGGGAAGCTTTGGCATATATTGTTGAGAATTCTACAGAATGTAGTAATAGGAGAGAGGTGGGCAAATGGAGAAGAGGAAGAAGGGGAAATATAGTCATAATAATCAATTGTACATGTGTGAAAATTCAACAGGGAAACGAGACTAGTTGAGGAAGGGGGTGGAGAGGGAGAAGAATGGAGGGAGTGACTGATCCATAAATCGTATGATGAAACAACCTTGTAAAAGAAATAGATGCTAATTAAAAGAAGACTGGAAACAAGAACAAAGAATGACATTGCTTAAAAATTGAAGACTTAATAGATATGGAATAAAAACATTTTCCCAACCTGACTGATATTTTGAAAAGATAATATGGACATTTCAAGTAAAAGTGCTTGAAACATTGAAGGTTTGTGCCTAGAAAGAGTGTTCATAAAAATATATATTAAAAAAGATCAATGGAATTCTATGCCTCCATCAGAAAGAATGACATTGCCCCATTTGTTAGGAAATGGAAAAACTTGGAAAAAATTATATTAAGTGAAGTAAGCCAGGCCCAAAGAAACATAGGTCCCATGGTTTCCCTTATTTGCAATATCTAGTATATGTATGAGTCAAGCGGAAAACATCAGATAATGTATGTCAGGAAAATGAACCCTTAGATATGTATTTCAATGTTTTTTTCTTTCATGCATGTGTTTCTAATGCATTTATAATCTTATAATCTTTGTTGCTTTGTATGTCCCTCCCCCACAGTATAACCCCTGCTTTCACTATATTTCATGTCAGTATAACTGGTGGAAGAGATGGGGAAAAACCAGTTGTTTAAGGATACAGGTGGACCTGTTGCAACAATGAGAAGTACAAGTTGACATGTCCAAAACGAGCTTTACAACGTCGGTGGGGGGGGGGGGGAAAGGGGGGGAAGGAGAAGGATTGGGATGGGGGGGAGGGGGGAGGCTGGGAAGGGATGTGAAGGGTAAACCAAAGGAGGAGGCTGCAATGCTTGGTAAGAAATGTACGCATTATCCTGCCCATGTAATTGTAACCCCTCTGTACAGTATGTTCACAAATAAAATAAAATTAAAAAAAAAAGAAATGTACTCATTATCTTGCCCATGTAATTGTAACCTCTCTGTACAGTATTTTCACAATAAAAAATTTAAAAAAAAATATATATTAAAAAAGAGTGTTCATATAACATAAAAGAATAACTCTGAAAAGGGAAATAGAGAATAGCTGGATACAAGACCAACAAACAAGAGGAGGGAAAGACCACAAAGCTTTGTGCACAAAATGCAATAAAAACAGCAGTATAAAGGGTACAGTGTAACATAACAACACTATGCTCAGATGGAAAGGAGGGGCCTCAAATATAGTGGGAAAAAGGTAAGTAATGGGCAAAGGACATTATTCCATTAAGACTAACTATATTGAAAGGGGACTTAAAAAGTTCAAGGGCACCATATTCCATGCTATTCTTAGAATTTTTAAATGTGTAATCTGGAGCTGGGCCATCAGTGCTTGGGTGATTTCAGTTTTACAGTTCTTGTATGAAGGTTAATAGACTGATCTCTTTAGATGGGGAGTAGTAATGAAAAGTTCAGAGGTTAGAGCTAAGAATGAAGGGCAACAATCTCAGGCTCCTGAAAAAAGCTTGCTCTGTCATGAGGGTTTGGACATTTATATAAAAATAAGTGGCATATTTCAATACTGCCTAGTTATTTCAATGATACTAACAAAATTTAAAAGCCTGTGCTGTATAACTAGTATATGTCTAGGACAAACAGAAAAGGTCAAAAGCTATGTACATATGACCATATAAGATGATGCTAAGAGAAATGAACCCCAAGATAGGGACAAAAGAGGTTTTATCTTTCTTGCTGTTGTTTCTAATGTGTTTATAATGTGCTATGTGATTTTTTTTTGCTTCTTTTGTATATTCTTCCCCCATGGTACAACCCTTGTTTTCACTGTATTTGATTCCAGTGCCCTGAATCTTGTATATGCATTTTTCTAATTTGGGGAGGGGAAGGGAAATAACAAAAAGCTGAAATAAAGATACAGGTTGTTCCATTGTAACAATGAGATGTACAAGACACTATGTTGAAAACAAACTTTACAACCTTGGGGTGCGGGGACAGAGGAGTTTGGGAGGTGGGGAGGGAAGGGATAGTAGGAGAAAAACAAAGGAGGAGGTAACAATGCTCAATAGGAATTGTACCTTACTCATGTAACTGTAACCCATCTGTACAGTATCTTTATAATAAAAAGTCTATACAAAAAAAGCCCGTACTACAAAGCAGCCAAGTGTGCAAGATGGTGTGTGTAGGAGGAGCTAGGTGAGTTTTCCTTATCCTGACCTGTGATTCAGTGCAAAACTTGTGGTCAGGTTGATAGCAGGGAGGATGTGATGCATTTGCTTTTATGCTTTCATCTTTTATGCTTTCACCCTTCTGTGCACAATACATTGTAGCAAGAAATAACAGTCTATAACTTAAACTCCATAATAGAATCTTTCAGATTCATGTTCCATGCAAAATTGGAGAAAATATGTCATCATTTTCTGGTGAATAGGAGCTATCCCAATAGGACTTTGATATATGTACAAAATCATGTACTCCTTTATCCTTATATCAGAGCAGAAGAGTTAGATAAATAATATTCTCTGGATTTAAAGGAGGAAACAGCAAATCCATCTCTATCAGAAAAAGAAATAGATATAATCCTCCCAAAGAACAGATTTGAACAAAGAATCACATAGAAATAAAAGGTGTATTTGGGGAGGAAGAGGAAACAACATTTCAAAGCCTCTACTAAGAGGTACAGAAAACATCAAGAAAGGGCTTGTCTATCTGATTTAATGGATAGATACTACATTGCTGCTAGATGGAGATTTTCATTTGTAAGCTATTTAATACAGTAACAAACTTATTCACTGGCTGTTGGCCAAGGTGGAGTCATACCTTGCAAGTTTCTTAGCCACAAGAGTAGCACAATGATGTAAACAGAAAGTTCTGTGAGGCCATGTGCAAGAGCAGTGCATTCACAGACCAAATGGTAGTAAAGCTGGCTGATTAACAGAATCTCTGCTAGTCGCTCTGTGTAGGAGAAACAGAGCAGAGGGAGACCTCAAGGCCAGAAGGAAATGAACTGCTAATCCCAAATCTACCTGGAATCTCCGGATAAGAACAATAGTACTTTTTATTCATCTTAAGTAGAAAGAATGGTGCAGTTTATTACTTGAACATGAAGAGGTTATCAAGAGGGGTTGGGGCAGATGAAAAACAGAAGAGTGGGAAGAGAACAAAAATATTGGTGGAGCATTGATAAACCAGGGTTAATTTGGGGTGTATTAATTTACAAAGAACAAGATCTGGGTTAGTGGAATCCACCAGAGGGGATTCATGGCTGCTTACATCCTTGTGATCAGCTAATGCTTTGCTCAAATATCATAGAAAACTACAGAAAGTCAAAATAGACTTGAATATGATTTACACAAACACAGTTACTGCTAAAACTTAGTTATTGTACAGATTTGTTAACTAATATAGAGATAGGGACAGGAAATGAAGCAAGAGCTGCAGAGGACCAGAAGGTAGGAGCAACTACAGAGCCAGAAGAACTGCTATTCACAAAAATGAGGAAAGGGCTGGGAACATGGCTCAGTGGTAGAGCGCTTGCCTTGCATGCATGAGGTCCTGGGTTCGATTCCTCAGTACCACATAAGCAAAAAGAAAAAAGCTGGAAGTGGCGCTGTGGCTCAAGTGGTAGAGTGCTAGCCTTGAGCTGAAGAGCTGAGGGACAGTGCTCAGGGCCAGAGTTCAGTCCCCACGACCAGACCCTCCCCCCCCCAAAAAAAAAAACAAAAAAAAATGAGGAAATACTGGTAGAATAACATAAGGCCATAAGTACCCTTAAGTAATCACTTGTGGAAAAAGGGAAGGAAGTACCAGGGGCACTAGATATGGTCGTGTGACTTATACCAGGCCAACAAACAAATATCAATATGCAACCTACAAATATCAGTACACTAAAACAGATGTATGTAGGTCTGTGTGTGTGTGTGTGTGTGTGTGTGTGTGTGTGTGTGTACATTGTGGCCTAAGTACAAGATCTGCTAGTTGAATATTAAAAGCAGAGTCCTAACTTACACCAAGATGGCTTCAAAAGTTATGCTGGTTTTTAAAAAATTGAGATAACTGAGAAAGAGTTGAAGAACTATATCACAATTTTAAAATGTTTCCTTTTCTCACCACATTACTTCTAAGGCGGTGTAACAAGGGGTGGCATGCCGGGGAAAGAAGGGCTGGAACAAGTGTAAAACAAGTGTGAAATCCAACCTAAAAAATAACAAACAAGTACTACATTTCTCTGTATAGGGACAATATGGTATGGCTGTAAATACTTAACATGCCAACATAGAAATTACCAAAATTGAGCACTGTAAAACCTATGCCATTGAGGTGTGTAAGATTCATATTGCCAAGTACTTCTGTGACAAAAGCAGCAGGTAAGTAACCTTAGACTGAGCCTGATCTTCACTGTGTTGATAGAGTTACTTGGAGTCTGTACCTGAATCTAAGTAATTCTATCCTCCTCCCCCACAACCACCAAAGTTGTAAAGTTCGATTATGACATAACGACTTGTACATCTCATTGTTGCAATGGATTGGGTGGGGGGAGGGGGCGGGGGCGGGGGAGGGATGGGAAGGGGAAACAAAGGAGGAGGCTACAATGCTTGATAAGAAATGTACTCATTACCTTGCCCATGTAATCGTAACCCCTCTGTACATTATTTTCACAATAAAAAAAAGAAGAAGAAAAAAGTAATTCTATGTGATTTCCAGGGCTTGGAAATGATTCTGTAGGCTCATTTGACATTGGTCAAATTTTCTAGAGCAAGTTTAAGTTAGACACTTGGACTCACACTGCAAACATTATGTAACATTGTGAATTCATTAGAGGGTAACTGCATGTAAAAGCTGGGTCAGCTGATGCATTGCACACACTTGGAATCATGGCGCCTTCCGATAAAGGCCAATTCCTGTCCATTCTATTGAAGAGGAAAAGTTGGCAGTATCAGTCTTCCTGGTCTTCCTTCCTACACCCTGGGAGTGTTAGTTCACAAGTGTTCTAGTTGTCTATTGCTTTTCTTTTCTTTTTCTTTTTTTTTTTTTTATTGTGAAAATACTGTACAGAGGGGTTACAATTACATGGGCAAGATAATGAGTACATTTCTTATCAAACATTGTAGCCTCCTCCTTTGTTTCCCCTTCCCATCCCTTCCCATCCTCCCCCCACCCTCCCACCCCATCCTCCTCCCTCCCACCAAAGTTGTAAAGTTTGTTTTTGACATTAGGACTTGTATATTTCATTGTTGCAATGGATCCACCTGTATCCCTAGTTAAACGATTTGTTTTTTTCCCTTCCCCTCCACAAATTATACCAACATCAAATACAGTGAAAGCAGGGGTTGGTTATACTGTGGGGGAGGGACATACAAAGCAACAAAGAAATAATCTTATAAATGTGTTAGAAACAATCGCATGAAAGAAAAAAAAACATTTGAATACATATCTTAGGGTTCATTTCCCTAACATTAACTTATCTGTCATTTTCTGCTTGATTCAGACATATGCTAGTTATTGCAAATAAGGGAAACCATGGGACCTATGTTTCTTTGGGCCTGGCTTACTTCACTTAATATAATTTTTTCCAAGTCTTTCCATTTCCTAACAAATGGGGCAATGTCATTCTTTCTGATGGAGGCATAAAATTCCATTGTGTATATATACAATATTTTCTTGATCCATTCATCTACTGAGGCCCCCATAAACATGCAGGAGTTGCAATCCTGATATCAGATAAAATAGACTTCAAATTAAAATTAGTGAGAAGAGATAAGGAAGGTAGCTACATACTAATTAAAGGATCTCTCCTTCAAGAGGATATTACAATTCTAAATATCTATTCGCCAAACAATAGAGCACCCAAATTCATTCAAGAAACACTACTTTCCCTCAAATCCCACATAGATCCAAAGACATTAATTGTTGGGGACTTTAACACACCATTTTCCCCACTAGATAGATCAACTCGGCAAAAACTCAACAGAGAAACCGCAGATCTAAACAACTGCATAGATTTACTAGATTTAACAGACATCTACTGAATATTTCACCCAGCAGCATCAGAATACACGTTATTCTCAGCAGCACATGGAACATTTTCCAAAATAGACCACATTTTAGGCCACAAAGCAAACTTGTCCAAATTCAGAAACATTGAAGTTATACCTTGCATTCTTTCAGACCACAAGGGAATAAAATTAGAACTCAATACCAAAAGCCACCAAAGAAAGTCCTGTAACACATGGCGGCTGAACAACACACTGCTGAATCACTAGTGGGTCATGGAAGAGATTAGAAAGGAAATTCAAATGTTCATGATATTCAACAAAAATGAGCACACAAATTACCAGCTCCTTTGGGACACAGCAAAGGCAGTACTCAGAGGCAAGTTTATAGCTCTGAGTTCCTACATCAACAAATTGGGGAGATCTGAAATCAACAATTTAATGAGACATCTGAGCCTCCTTGAAAAAGAGCAGCAAGATAAACCCTAATCCAGTAGACAGAAAGAAATAATTAAAATTAAATCAGAATTAAATGAATTAGAATAAAAAAAAACATAGAAAGAATCAACAAAACAAAGAGTTGGTTCTTCAAAAAATTAACAAAATTGACCGACCCTTAGCAAATCTTATCAGAAAAAGAAGAGAATACACCCAAATAAATAAACTCAGAGATGAGAAGGAAACATCACCACAGAAACAACCAAGATTCAGAACATTATAAGGGAATACTTCTCAAAACTAGCAAATATTGACAGGCCAAAACTAAACCAAGATGAGTTAAAACATCTTAACAGGCCCATATCAAGCATTGAAATAGAAACAGCAATAAGAGACCTCCTGTCTAAGAAAAGCCCGGGACCAGATGGTTTTACAACGGAATTCTACAAGGCCTTCAAAGCAGAGCTCACACCAATTGTCTATTGCTTTTCCAGGCTTCTTCTATGCTGCTCACAGTGCAGATGGGTCCTGAGAAAGTTGAGTAGTTTGAGTGGAGCCTTGAGGAGCTGCTCTTCACTGTTCTTACCATGCAACAAGGGAGAACCTTCATGTCTATAGGCACTCCAACATAGATTGTGATTTCATGGTTAGTTCAGTTGGGGAAGGATGATCCCTTTCGAGTATGTACCCTAAGTCAGAGTTAAAGCTGAATTTGGGGGATATTTTCTAATTCAGAGAAGTTTCAGAATAAAAAGAAAGCACCAAATAGATTTCTATAGACAAAAAAGTAACCTTTTAGAGGACATTTACAAAATTGTCTACTTCAGTAGATTTTTCCAATGACTTTATAGTACCCACCCAAGCAGGTACTATATAACTATTTGTCAAAATGCCTTACCTTGTCGCTCCTTTTCTATGTAGTGGGAAATATTGAAGGTCAGTGATATAATCAGAGCCAATCCCAAGAGGGCTAAAAGTCCCCAGAAAAAGAAGGGGCATCCAGAGTTTCCTGCAAACAATAACAGACACACCTATGATATATTAATGATGCCATATTAGTTTTGGTCACAAAACCATTGAAATTATTTATAATGATGGACAAAAGGCTCCAGGAAAATTCATTAATATTGACAACCAAAGGTGTCTTGAAAATTTCAAAGTAAGTGTTGGTGATGTCCTTAAATTTAGTACAGGCAAAAGGAAGCAAGAGTTTTTTTTGTTTGTTTGGTGGTTTTGGTTTTACATTTTTGGTGTTGATAAAATGAAAATTAATTCAGTCTGGGTAATAAAATATGGCCAGTGGTGACTACAAAAATAGTTCAAAAGTTTTTTGTTTGTTTGGTGGTTTTGGTTTTACATTTTTGGTGTTGATAAAATGAAAATTAATTCAGTCTGGGTAATAAAATATGGCCAGTGGTGACTACAAAAATAGTTCAAAAGTTTAAAAAGAATTCTTATTATCAAGACTCATATTCTACTACACTTTCCCATTCACCTCATTTTTAGTCCAAAATTATATGTAATTTCCTTATTTGCAGAAAACTACCAGTTCCCTTCCACTGATCCTAGCAGTGTGAATCACAGTAACACAATTTGTTAGGACTGATCACAAAGAGTTTTTCTGATATATTTAGAGCTCCATTAATGGACAAGAGAGAATTCATATTGCTTCTTTTTCCCCTAAGGCCTCTCTAGTTTCATTTCAGAAACATAAAAAGGAGCTTATGGGCTTTGATCTGTTAGTTGAACTTGACAATTCAGTTTTTTCTACAGAAATGTGATTATTAAGATATTAGCTTGATTACAGATACCTTAGTACCCCTATCATCATATGACCACATTATATGCTGACCCCAGAAAAGTAACTAGTAATCCAATATTATATCTTCATATATTCAACCAATATATAATAACATCCTGGATCAGATTTATGTCCTATACTAGAAAATTAAAGATTTGAAAAAAAAAAAGGGAAACAGAAGCAAAAACTTTGCTCTCAAAAACTCAAGAACATCTAAGTTGGGACATAGATGTTAAACACATAAGTAGCATTGCATCGGGCAAATAGCTTGAAAATAACTGCAACAGAGATCATAATTCTTCATGTCCAGTCCCAATTCTCTCATTAAATGAGGCATATGGTGCTAATTAGTCCATTCTTATTATTGAACTTAGTGGATTGGGGGATTCTTTATTATGTTAGTACATTATTTTAATGGCTGCCTAGAGCTTTACAGAGTTGTTATAATAATTCTAGCCATTTGTCTAAAATAGACATGCTAATTTTTTTTAAAAAGTAATAATGCAGAAAACACTACTGGTTACTTCATGCTCAGCTTTATCTATTCATGAAGTTCCTAAGAATAGAATTGTTGTATCAAATGGTAGATTGAGAATATTTAAGACAAGTGTTAAGAAACAGATGGCTCCCTACCCTCTTGTCTTCTCCTTTCCCACACTGATATTATCTTTTCCACCTGGTTAATTTAACTGTAACTGTGCTAAAGGAAACCAACAAGCTGGCTCCCTTCTCAGCTAGGATTGAGTTTTCCTCTCTTCATAGTACAGAAATAAAAGAACGACCTGTTATTAGAGATTCTTGCTCTTTTATTCTTTTATTTATTTACTGGTTACTTAATTTGTTTATATTAATTGTACAAAGGGGTTTTGTTGCAATATTCCAATACATGTATATAATATACTTTGATATACCATTCAAACATCTATGATCTATCTAAATGCAGTTCTAAATTTATCCCCATAATAAGACAATTTGAGGGCTCTCACTATAAATTCTACTGAAGTTTATCTCAGCTATTATGTCAAGTTATTCAGTCAGCCAGGCCTAGGCACACTCTTCCTCTATACTCACTATGTGTGATGACATGTAAATTGATTTTAATTGCTATGAAAAGGCCAGATGTCTTCCTGTTGCTGTTGTGATGAGCTCATGTATTGTGAATGAAAAATTCAATGACACTAACCCCACAGAAGAAATCCCTTCTACAGTGAATAGTACATGGCAGTACAAAGTGACCTCTTGTGGTTTTTGCTGGATTATCACTTTATTACACATATGATAAACAAATAAAATGTTATCTGACTGCTTATATTATCAGAAAGACTTCTGCTCAACAATGGGACATAAGTAATTAAATTTTGGTGGAGTCAAAAGTTATATGCAGAATTTTGACTGAAGGGAGGGGTCAGTACTCCTAACATCAACCTCCAAACTTTTCCATGTTTATTTTGAACGTATTTATTAGCATTTATCAATTTTATAATCGGGCTTCATTATGATGATTTCCATATATGCCTACACTGTACCCTGATCAAATTCATATACTTTTTCTTTTTCTTTTCATATCCTTTTTCTCTGTCCATTGTTCTCTGCTCCACTTCTTTAAAAATTTCAGCTAGTCTCATTTTCTGTTTTCATGTGTCTATAAAGTACTCCAGTGATGTTTAAAAAACCTTCTCCACCCTCTCTGTCCACTCTTCCCCCTTCTGCCAGTACCTACCTCATCAAAAGAATCTGCTTTACTCTCCTGTTATTCATTTTGTACTTTGTATTAATTGTACAAAGGGGTTTCATTATGCATCAATATATTATATTTAATCCAGCTATTTTACTATTCTCTCTTTCCCCATAACCACATTTAGAAATCGTCATAAGAAGAGGCATAGGATTCAATTATGCCAGCAATATTGTTTACTCTTCCATCAGTAATTTCTCACAGTGGTTTATATCTGCAACCACAATACCCTGCAACATTCTGCTGTATGAACTTTCCACAGCTTACTTAAACAATCTTTCTTATTAAATACTTAGGTGGCTTCTATGTTTTAATTATTATAAGCAAATGTTTCAATATTATGATGAATCTTCCATAGCTAAACTAGACATAAGCCTTAATTTTTAGGTTAATGTTTTTGAAAAGAAATGACTGGATCCAAGACTATACAGAACTTAAAAACCCTTGTTCAATATCTTACTATTCAAGGTTTTAAAGATTAAAAACAGTTTTTGTTGGCTGGGAATGTGGCTTAGTGGTAGAGTGCTTGCCTATCATGCATGAACCCCTGGTTCAATTCCTCAGTACCACAGAAATAGAAAGAGCCAGAAGTGGTGCTGTGGCTGAAATGGTAGAGTGCTAACCTTGAGCAAAAGAAGCTCAGGGACAGTGCCCAGACCCTGAGTTCAAGCCCCAGGACTGGCAAATAAAAAAGTATTTCTTAAAGTTTTAATACATTACATCTTCTCAGGTTAGTCTGGCTCTGTTCCAAATTCATTCAATTGCTACTGGCTTTAATATTTATTCTGAGCTCAGTTAATTTGTACTATATTAAAGTCTACTCCTGACCAACCTACACCTTCTCATGCTACACTAAGCTCAAATGTTCTCCTCCATGGCTTCCGGAGAAAGTTGTCCCTTTTAGTTTTTCCTGTAACCTATGACAGAGGTTGTTCTGAAGAATGTGACTGTTTATTATCTCTTTTTGGAACGTAGAGGACATCATACTTTTCTTTCCTCATCAAAAATTATTTTCAGCAAACACTACTTTAGAGTTGTTGACAATCTTTTGGGAGTTGCCTGCCTACCAATTATCTGCCAGGCACCAATCATTTTTGAAGCACTTGCTGTTTTCTGTAGATCCCACCCCACTTGTCAAGGCCTGATATCTCTATATCTTTGCCACTTTGCTATTTCCTACAGCAGTTACACACACAGAAATGGTTGTGCTTTGAGTTAATGAAATATATTCCAAAAAATCAAACTTCAAGGAAGCAGAAAGCCCTAACCTTATTTTTAAAATTATACTAAATCTAACTATGAATCATACTATCAATTTACAAAATTATTTTCTAAATGATGTTTCACTATCTCCATTCCAATTAAAGAGATCATTGAAGTAGCTTATAGCTCATTAATAGCTATAATAGATATAATATATAATAGATATAGATATAATTTTGTCCTCAGCTACTAAGAAACTACAAAGCACCTTATACTAAAAGCTTTAAGGAAAGCCTTAATAATTGCCCTGAATATGTCAGTGATGCTAAGGTAAGAATTCAAAACACTCTGCACATTCTTTCAGGGCTCTGCTTCATCATTTACTTAAATAGTAAATTGCTTTACATATGCAATTGGAGACCTTTTGAAGTATAAGCATTATCTAACTGGAAAATGGTTTAGACATGGTAGGTGTAGGTAAGCATGACCATCAGTTTCCCTGTGATTTTTATTTTATTTTGTTTTATTTTTGCTGAACTCTGGGCCTGGGTGCGGTCCCTGAGCCTCTTTGTGATCAAGGCTAGTGCTCTACCATTTGATCCACAGCACCGCTTCTGGCTTATTCTGAATGGTATATTGGAGATAAGAGTCTCATGGACTTTTCCTGCTTTCTGTGATTCTCAGACCTCAGCCTTCTGAATAGCTAGGAGGCATGAGCCACTGGCACCTAGCTTTGCTGTGATTTTAGGAATCTGTAAAACCTAGTATTTCTGTTTTCTGAGAATTTTTCCTTAGTAATATGATTTGAGCTTTAAGTAAAAGAATTTCCATGTAGAAGCTTCATGACATTGTTTCAAACTTTTTTGATTATGAACAATAAATCCTCTATTTTGAAAAAACAGATTCTGAAGAATATATATAAATTCTCTCTCCCTCTCTCTCTCTCTCTCTCTCTCTCTCTCTCTCTCTCTCTCTCTCTCTCTCTCTCTCTCTCTCTCTCTCTCTTTGCCTATAATTCTCCATTTTCAGCATAAACATCTCTACATCCCTATGGGTCTCCACTTAATACAGAGTACATCTTATAATATTAGGTGCACAGCACACTTGGGACTATTTTCCCCCAAAGAGCAATATTTAACTTCATTATCTATGAATAATAATTACATTCATTTATATCGTTTTTACCAATTTAAAAGTAACTCCCACGCAATTTGTATTTGGCTATTTATCTGCTAAAAAGCCAAAGGCCTTGAGAAATTACTAGTAAAGCAATGGGAATGATTTTCATTAGGCAAATCATGATTTAAGTTTCTCTCCAGCTTTCAACCACCAGAGGCTAATAGTGGTGCATTTAATTATAAGACCTCTGACTTTCTGAAAACCAGCAGTAATTGGCAGGTACTATGTTCAGAGTTCACAGTTGCAGGTACTCTGGAAAGAAACCCAAGTAAGCAAGTATAATGGCTTTCTGCTGGCAGTTTTGATTCATACAGAAGCCTTTATTTAAACAATTAATAAGTAAAATAATAAATATAGTGCTTTACTTGCTTCAAACTACAGACTATCATTGACTAGGACAAGCATATGCATTTATAGTACATAGTCTCTTTTAATGGCCTCCTTTGGCCTCCTTTGTATTCCATGAGTGTGAATATTTAATTTAGGTACCAAGAAGTTAAAGAAAAAGATTAATAATATAATCATCATAGATGTGTGTGTGTGTATGTGTGTGTGCACGTGCGTGTGTGTGTATGTGTGCACAGTGGTCCTGGCCTTTAACTCAGGGCCTGGGTGCTGTCCCTGAGCTTTATTTACCCAAAGGTAGTTCTCTATTGCTTGAGTCACAGCTCTACTTCTGGCTTTTTTTGGTGGTTAATTGGAGATACGAGTCACATGAACTTTCCTACCTGCCCTGGCTTTGAACCACAATCCTCAGATCTCAGCCTTTTGAGTAGCTAGGACTCATACATTTTTCTTTTATAATAGTTTTTACTATCGCATGGTTTGATGCATGGTACACTATCACTATTCCAATACTTTCAACTACCATTGATGAGCACAGCACTGTCATCAATAAAAGGTGTTAGAACAACATAGATTATCATAGGAGGGCCCTCTCATCGTAGTTCTAGGATTTCAAGTAAATAACATTGATTGCTGTAAAATCCACAGCCCATTGACTTGAAATGAATGGTCTCTTACAAGACACAGTACTTGAGATGTGAATGGTATGGTTTGCACTACAGGCTGTGATAGAAACAAGAAAAAGAGCAGTGCTGGCTCCGCAGTGACTATTTTTAAACAAAATGAGAGGTTGGAGTTCCTGTCTTTATCTTTGTGGCTCGAAGGCCTCCTTTTTCTAATACATCATGATGCCTCCAAGTTAATACCTACTGAGTCTAACCAAAGAGACCACACAGAAGGGAGTAAGCAGGGGGGAAACAAAATTTAAGAATAAGTTAAGATTTCTCCTAGGTTATACTCCTTGTAGCTGTTGCAATGGAACTTTACTTTGAATTTCTTAAATTCAGAAATCCTATTGTGATTGACATGCCACCAAAATGCCAACTGTAGATGAACCTTTTTTTGATCTGTATTTAGTTGCACTCTTTTATACATCTACTTACTGTTTCTTCTTAGAGAGGCACTTTGGAAGGATTTTCTGATGAGAGCACAGCTGTGTGAATCTTTCATCCCCCCAAATACTTAACTATGTTCTATTTGAACTTCTATTTGATTCCTCAATTTTTTAAAAAAAAATTTAATTTAAATGTGCTAGATCTACTGTGACTCAGTGCTTCTGATCTGTAATGCTAGCTACACGGGAGTCAGAGATTCAGAGGATCACAGATCAAGGCTGGCTTTAGAAAAGTTTATGGTACCCCATCTCAGCCAATAAAAGCAGAGCACAAGGATGTATTCCTGTTATCCCAGGTATTTGAAAGTGTAAGTAGGTGGACAACTTTCCTAGTCAGTCCAGGAAAAAAATTGAGACCTTATTTTAAAAAATGAACACAAAAAGGAGTCTGGCTCAAGTGGTAGAGTACCTACCCAGAAAGCATAAGCACTGAGTTCAAACCCCAGTACCACCACAAAACAGAGATAATAAAATGAACATTTCAAAATGCACGGAAAATTATCCAATGAGATAAGCAAATTGTGAGCATATGCCTATTAGAACTGTGACCTTTATGCAACAATATTTCCTAGATTGACTTTTCTTGAAAATCATTGCTGAATATTATTTAATTATATGATGATATGTTGTCTTTGGCCAATTTTTAACTTAAGAACACCTGAGTTTAAAATGTAATTCATAAATTAATCCTATTTAGTCTCTAAAACAAGGATTGCAGGGAAAAACTGGGAGAGCATGAGGGAAGAGGTGACATTGCCCCAAAATAAATGAACTCATAGCTGGGCACCCATGTCTCATGCCTATAATCCTAGCTACTCAGGCTGAGGCCAGAGGATTGTAGTTGGAAGCCAACCCAGGCAGAGAAGTCCATGAAACTCTTATCTCCAGGTAACTACTCAGAAAAAGTCAGAAGTAGCACTGTGGCTCAAGTGGTAGAGTGCTAGCCTTGAGCACAAATTGGCTCAGGGACAGCACTCAGGCCAAGTTCAAGTCCCAGGACCAGCAAAAGAAAAAAAGAAATGTACTCATTACCTGACTTACGTAACTGAAACTCTTCTGTATATCACCTTTATAATAACAATTTAAAAAGTATAAATCTTCTCAAAGGAAAACAGAACTGGATAAAAACATGAGAAACCTCTTAAAAATGTCTAAACTGAATGGTGAATCGTTTGAATTAGGAGTTGTTCTCAGAGTTTCATTAGCTCATACTGATTTTATGTGATAGCAGAAACAGTAGGAATTATAACACCAACATATTTACTGATGGTATCATGACAACAAAAACAAAGGCAGGGAAAAAAAGGAAAAATATGGGACTTGTCATTTCATATGCTTTCTGCAAATAACCATGCTGTGTGTTTAAATTTATTATCTTTTTTATTTTGCCTATTTAAATATGCAAACTTACCATCTATTTCTTTTCTTTCATATTGAATTTGTCTTTGTTTTGTTTTGGCTTCTAAGATTTCTGAGGCTTTGAGGTCAAAATCTTTATATTTGCAAGTTGTCTGTGGAACTGTTTTTTGTTTGTTTGTTTGTTTTTTAAAGCTTTTTATTGTGAAAATACCATACAGAGGGGTTACAATTACATGAGCTAGGTAATGAGTACATTTCTTATCAAGCATTGTTGCCTCCTCCTTTGTTTTTCTCCTACCACCCCTGCCCTCCCATCTCCAAGATTACACTCCCCCCCCACCCCCTCCCCATCCCCCCGCCCAAAGTTTTAAAGTTCGTTCTTCGACGTACGACATAGCATCTTGCACCTCTCATTGTTGCAATGGAGAAGTTTAGTTTTATCCTGTCTCTCCTAAATGTAGAGTGGATTACTTCTGCCATTGCCCCTGGCCTTCTCACCCTGCCCAAGCTCCCTATCATCCTAAGCTCATGGCAGTTGCACATGGTACTGCTGAGCCTGTTTCTTGCAGGAGACTAGCAAAACAGAGGCTAGCTTTTTGTAATTTGCTAACATATGAACTTAGGAGAGAAATGTGAAAATTATATATTGGCTTACTTTCCTTCTGTGATTTATAAATCAATTGACTTTTAAGATCCATAAAACAAAATACTGATAAGCAAATTCATAGAAATTAAAACACGTGGTATCTTTACCGCATAACTACCTCTGTATAAAGTAATGTTCAATTACTATCAGCACAATAATTAGGCAAAAGATACAATCAGGCAACTCACAAATTCAGGGATTTTAGGCAGTGTAAAAACCCCTGCAGAATATGTTCAATGCTCAACCACACTATGTCAATTAATGTGTATTCAACAATGTTGAATTTATGAGATAGTTGAAATGAGACTAGTCTGTTGACAAGCAAATTATAATGAGACTGAATTGGCATCACTCTTGGAAAGACAATTTGGTAATAGTGAGACTTCGTAATACCATATTCTGTAATTGCAGTTCTAGCTCTTTCCTCCAAATAAGCCTTAATACAAAAACAGCTATAGAGTTGTTCATTTTTCTGTCATTTAGAACATTAAAACCCTGGATAAAACATAATTATCTAGCAATAAGAGAATGACTAAGTAAATTGTAATTAACACAATAGAGACCATGTTGTGCATTTATTTAAAATGATTAGGCAGAAGTTATAATCAAAAAGGAAATGGCTGTGTTATAATGTTACTGAAAAAAGCTGGGTGCATGGTTTTATCTACATTATTATTTCAGTTATGCAAAGCAAGCTGTGTGGAATGCCTAGAAACAAAAATTGGAGAAAATGGGACAAAGCATTTTGCATTTTTAAGGTGATGGAAAAATATATATGATATTTTTCTTTTATATATCTCAAAATTCTATTCTACATAATGTGAATTTTTTTACAACAAAGACATATTTGTTAAAGCAAGAGGGATACAGGAGGAATGAGACATCAACTTAGCTTCATAAAAGAAAATTGGTGTAGGTCTAGCCCTTTCCAGAACTCTTGTTCTAGCCCAAGCAGCTGGATTTTCACCTGTTTCTTGCTAAGTCAGTTGAATTGACTCCTGAGAATTGGATTGAGTTTCAGGAAGACACTACAGCACCTAATTTCTAAAGAATCAGAATACAGTTATTTCCCAGCTACTTTATATATAAACTAATGAAAGAAGAACATGCACGGTTAACAAACAATTCTTTAATAATCACAAGGACTGGGGCTGGGAAGGTGGCTCAGTGGTAGAGCGCTTGCCTTGCATGCCTGAGGCCCTGGGTTCACTTCCTCAGCACCATATAAGCAAAAAGAAAAAAGCCGGAAGTGGTGCTGTGGCTCAAGTGGTAGAGCGCTAGCCTTGAGCTGAAGAGCTGAGGGACAGCGCCCAGGCCCAGAGTTCAGGCCCCATAACCGGACCCTAAAAAAACAAAAAATAATCACAAGGACTTGAAACAGCATAGCTGCTAATGAACTTAACAAATACAAATAGCTTTATGTTATCAAACACCATTCACATTTTTTTCTTTCATGAAGAAATACTTACACCCCCTAAAGTATTTCAAAATACTTTCTAATTATTCTAAAAGTTACTCATATTTAAAAAATAATTGTGTTATTTATTTTCCAAATTGTTTTGAAACTAAATAAGTGAACTTTAAGGCATAGAAATAGAACACAAACATTAAAAATGCCACTTACCTGACATGCTTTTTCCTCCCTAGAAAACTTGTTAGGTAGCCATAAAGCAAAAGGATGAACTCAGAATTCTCACAACCAACTTTTTTTCTGAGTAGTTTCTCTGCTATGTTAGAAGCAACATGGAACTAAAACTTAGCCTTATAAGTACCTCAGATTTCTCTCTCTCTCTCTCTCTCTCTCTTTCTCTCTCTCTCTCTCTCTCTCTCTCTCTCTCTCTGTCATATTTCTTAAAAACTTTTTGTGTGTACTTTGTTCAGTTACAAACAGGAAATGTGGTGATGTACGCTTCTAGAGTTTAGATCAGAAACTAGTAGACTTGAATTGTGTTACATGGGAAGAAAAATCCCCCAGAGTATCTGTACTCGTGTATTTGAATTTTTACCAATACCTGAGTCAAATTTAAAAATTGATAATGAAATCAAAATCTGAAACCATTCATAGGTTTGCAGACAATCCAGGTATCTTTTTTCACAAGCAAACTCACATGCAAATAAAATAAAATATATGAAACCAGTGAATGACTAGTTTGCATCCTCTGGGTGTGCTTAGCTATTTGTTATTTTATTTGAGATGTGATGGAGGGAAGAGAATTAATACTTTCTAGATTTTACTTAGTATCAGATATTTATTTTACCACCAAAAGTTTAGATACCTCCCTTATTTCCTACCAGCCTTTATTCCTGCCAGCATGATACTTCCTTCAAGCTAAAGCCACCTGGGAAACAGACCTTACCACTACATTGGATGTTACCGTGCGTAAGTATGTTAGAATTAGTTAAAATCCTGAGCCCTACTGAATCACGATATTTGGGATAGAGTTCTAGAATATACATTTTAATAAGTATCCTTGGTTTCTGTAATTGACAAAGAGACAAAGAAAAAGTTATTTCCAATGACTCATCATGAAAACATCCTTATTCTCTAACAATTTTAATTGACACAAAATATTTGTACATATTTATGGGCACAGTATAATTTAATACACATGAAATATGGATGATAAAACTAAGATAATTAGCATTTTTATCTCCTTCAAGATTTATCATTTTTATGTGCTGGAAAATTTTGAACTATTTTTTTTCCTAGTTATTTTGAATTACATCATAAATAGTAGACTTTAGTCACCTACGGGGCTATAGAACATAAAATTAATCCCATTTATCCAAATGTATTTTGGCTTTCATTATCTAGCCTGTGTCTTTCTTTCTTCTCTTTTGCCCTTCCTAGCCTCTAGTGACCACTATTCTTATTTATATTTCTATGAAATTAATTTTTCTAGCTTCTTTTTTTGTTGTCATTTTCATCTCCTGAAGTTCATTTAGATACAAGCTAATTTATATGACCAGAGGCACATAGGCATTTTGTCTTTGTGTTCCTCCTCTAAAAGTTTATTCCTTTGGTCTCACTGTGTGTGAATGCCTAGAGTCCTCTAACTTTTCAAGTTTCTAAAATTGAGTGAGAACGTGTGATATTCATCTTTTTGTACCTAATTTGTTTTAATGTGATGTCTTTCAGTTCCATTAATGTTGCCGGAAGTGGCAAGATCATTTCTTCCTAAATTTTATATTTTATGCAATCCTGGACTTGAACTTAGGACTGGGGTGCTGTCCTTTAGCTTTTTCACTCAAGGCTGGCTTTTTCTCACTTGAGCCACAACTCCACTTTGGGGCTTTTTGGTAGTTAATTTGGAGATGAAAGTCTCATGGACTTTCCTGCCCAGGCTGGCTTCAAACTAAAATCCTCAGATTTCTGTCCTTTGAGTAGCTAAGACTAGGCATTATTTACCATTCCTTGACAAGATTTCATCTCTTAATATATGGAAAGCATGCATTTTGAAGTCAGGCATTAATAGCTCTTCCTGTAATTCTATAGTTAATTTGAAGATTAAGCATGGAAGGATGGTGAAGGAAGTGACTTTTATGTCAGTATGGGGAGAAAAGCCTGAGACTCCATCTTAGTGGAAGAAGATGAGGATGGTGATGTAGTATATGGCTGTCATTCCAGCTATAATGGAAATCTAAAATAACTTGACAGTATCCAGGCATTTGCCTGGGCAGGAAGTGGGATTCTATCTCAAAAATAACCAGTACAAAAATAGGCTGGAGATCTAGCACAAGTTTTATTTATTTTTATTTATTTTTTTTAGCACGAGTTTTAGAATGCTTGCTAGCAAGCACTTGGCCCTCAGTTCAAATCCCAGTACTACCAAAAATGAAAAGAAAACATACATCTTATATTCATGTACCACATATTCTTTATTCATCTATCAGTGGATATTTTACCTAACTCTGTATCATTGGTATATAAGTAATTTGCATGTCTCTTTGAGAAATTTAAACATATGAGATAGAATTCTTTTATCTATGGAAGTGGCTAAATACTAGCAGACTTTTTTGCACTTCATTCATTTCTTCTCAAAATACACCTTGTGAATAATTGAATAAGTCGATATCAGACACCACAAAATTCGCTTGAAGACTTTTTTTTGGTAGGTTGTGAAGCTTGAACTCAGGCCTGGGCACTGTCCTTGAGCTCTTTTTGCTCAAGTCTAGCAGTCTACTACTTTGAGCCACAGCACCATTTATGGTTCTCTGGTGGTTAATTGGAACTAAGAATCTCATGGACTTTCCTTTCTCAGCTGGCTTTGAACCATGATCTTCAGATGTCAGCCTCATGAGTAGCTAGGATTATAGATGTGAGCCACCAGCACCAGGTGGTGTACTCTTCTTCAAAATGCTTGGTCTTAACTCTTAGACAACAACTGCTTCTAAAACAAATAAGTGTGAAGAAGAAAAGTATATATTATTTTCACTTGTGTAGACATAACATACCTTCAAGTTCCCATAATTCCAATAATGTTGCTGCAAATGACAAGATTTTACTTTTTAATGGTTGAAAAGCATAAGGTGTACCCATGTCTACATTTTATTTATGTTTTCATCTTTTAATGAATATTTTGCCCCAACTCCAAATCACTGGCTATTTTAAATATAAAATAATATTTTAGATGATACTTTTTTATATACAACACATATAAGAATTATACATACTCATTATAGTAATTCTTACAAAAATGGAAAACAGTCTTTTTTTTATCAGATCCTTTTCTAGACTTATTGACCAGAGAACTTATTGTTCAGCATCGAGTCATTAGCAGAGTGATGAGTTCTAAAAGCAGGGCTGGGAAGGTGGCTCAGTGGTAGAGCGCTTGCCTTGCATGCCTGAGGCCCTGGGTTCAATTCCTCAGCACCACATAAGCAAAAAGAAAAAAAATCCAGAAGTGGCGCTGTGGCTCAAGTGGTAGAGCCGCTAGCCTTGAGCTGAAAAGCTGAGGGACAGCGCCCAGGTCCAGAGTTCAGGTCCCACGATTGGACCCCAAAAAAATAAAAAAATTAAAAATAAATAAATAAAAGCAGTCTGGATGCCCATAGGGTAAGACTTCAAAAGAATAGCAGTGTCAGGTTCATCTTAGAGCCAGAGCACAACTGACAGTTCAAAGTTTATATCTTAGAATTAGATGTGACACAGGGATGGAAACTTCTGAAGAGTAGAATCCAAGCAGACATCCAAGGAAGTTTGAATACCCAAGATATAAGGAATGGCCCTGTTGGCCAGGTGGCCCTGAGAGGGTAAATGGAAAGAAAGAGAGAAGGCCTAGGATCACCAGGGCCTTCTTTAGGTTACCTAAATAAGGATGTATAACATGGGCACAGCAGATAGGTGTCTACTTACCAACTAACACATACAGAAGACATTTAAATAGCAAGAGGCTCAGGACTGGACTCTATCAACTTATTAGAGAATAAAGAAAAAAGGAAGAAGATGCCCTTGTTCTGGATAAGTCAAAAAGTTAATTCCCAGTAACAATAATAGTATTCACAAGCTGAATTTGAATGCAGAGAAAGCCAAATTCTGCAAGAACGACTTAAGCAAAATTTTAGACCCATTTTCATGGCTACCCCAAGAAACATGGCTCTTAGGAAAGCCCTCCTTCCAGATGAGACCCAAAGCAAACCTACTGGCCTCAAAGAGCCAGGTAATTAGATTGTACATTAATATTCAATCTGAAAGGATGATTGAGATTGCCAAAATGGCAAAAATTTAGGCTAAGAAATCCAAGCCATGTCACAATTTTCAATTATTATAATATTTTTGAAAAATTGTTTTCATTTTAATGTTTGTCATTCCATAAATTTAGATTATAATGAGATATAACAAGACTGCCCAAAGTCACCGAGAAAAGTTGTGCCTATGCATTAGATAGATCCATAGATGTTTGAAATTTGCAAGGAAAAAATATAGCTGTTTATTAAAAGATGGATGTCTGAGCACAAAGAGACATTAGCAGAATATTAAAAAGCTTATGGATATGTTTGTTATGAAATATACTAGTGAGCGCATTCAAAGATTTGAATAATGGCTTTGTGAGCCATATTCAAATAATACATAAACATGAGGCTTCTACACTTCTTAATGAGATGGGTTATCAAAATCAAGTTTACAAGATAGCTAAGCTAAGCAGAAATGCCCTGGCAAGCTTGAAATATACTGGGACTGTTGTATTATAGTTTTTTTGGTCAGTCATGGAGCTTGAACTCAGGCCCAGGTACTGTTTTTGAGGTCTTTTTGTCAAGTCTAGCAGCCTACTACTTTGAGCCACAGAACCACTTCCGGTTTTCTGGTGGTTAACTGGAAATAAAAGTCTCATGGATCAAGTCCCATGACCGACCAAAAAAAAAAAAAAGTCTCATGGACTTTCTTGTCCTGGCTGGCTTTGAACCAGAAAATGAAACATGTAACATAATGGAAGCTGCCATTCAAAGTTCTACACTCAGAAAAATAAGTTACCCAATGTAGAAGAGGCCAATTTTTGAAGTCTATTTTCATGGTCATTTATCATTTTAATCATTAATCTTTACTAGTAACATATACATTTATGTATGAACTCCAAAGAGTTCTAATAAAATTCAAAATGTTGATATTTAGGTTTCTTTATTGGTCAAAGTGTTTCTAATAAAGTACATTCTGAATAAAAGATGTTTCTTCATTTTTATTTGTTATTTATTTTATGTTTTATTTATCTTAGTTTATTTTTGTTGGTCCCTGAGCTCTTTTTTGCTCAAGGCCAGTACTCTATTGCTTTGAGCCACAGCTCCACTTCTGT